CCACTCACCTCGCTGCAATGGCAACGATAGCCCCATCCAGCTTGGTTCTCAGCTGCAGAGGCCTTCCAGAAAGGCTTCTGACTGTGAAATGTAGATCAGAGCTCCATTCTCAGCTGCAGAATGAAGCTGCTCCTTCCGCCGCAGAAGAAGTGGGCCGGCGAGGCAAGTGTCTGTCCTTGGGAGGACTGGCTGCAGTGGTAAGCTCCACCCTCCCCATTCCAACCCTAGCTTAATTTTTAGGTGTGCGTCTTGCCCCAAAACTAGGGCTTATTTTGGGGGTAGGGCTTGGGTAGAGTTTATATTAGGCCCACCCCCAAAAACAAGCTAGGGCTTATTTTCAGGGTAGGTCTTTCTTTCGGGGAAACACTGTAGCACTGATGATGTTATTTAGTTTGGGTAATGAAATCTCTGCAAGAAAACAACCAAGCTCAACACCAAGGAACAATAACAACAAAACAACACCAGAAAAACTGCAATTCTGGTATAAAACAGCACTTGTGTTATCCAGTAAGTCAACTGACAAAATAGAAAAGCTGTTTGAGACTGTCTAGTCATAGAGAAGTACCCAAGTCTTGCTTCTAAAACCAGAAAGTTGATCAAATGCTTTCCAGAAAAGGCAAAGCAGCACAAACATAAAAGCCTTGTTGTCAGAATGGGCCAACTCACAGCCAACTTGTTGCAGCCATTTCGCCACAGCCAATTTTCAATGGCCATGTTGCCACAGCCATTTTGCTGCGGCCAATTTATCGTGAGACAACTGGCCATGGCCAACTTGCCATGCAACAATTTGCCCCAGGACAATTCCACATGGGATAACTCAATGTGATAAATATTATCTGTCACTGTTTCTTCAACATTATTTTCATTGACAAAGTCCAAAATTCCAAAGGCAGGAAAACAAATCCAAAATCCACAAGTAAAGTCCGAGGTTCAGAGTCCAAAAACATTCCAAGGTTCAAGATACAGAGTCCATGAAAGCCAAGAAGGTGGACGCCAAGGCAAACAGGTATTCCTAACAAGCACACCTTCCCCAACGTCCGGTTAAATCACTCTTCCCCAGGTGTTCCTTATGAGGGGCGGGCTGTTTCCTTGCGAGCAAACCTCACCAACCTATTCTGTGCCTCCCTCTGCTCTGCTCTGCTCTCCACGCCTGCAGATTGGGCGAAGGAGGTAGCTGTTCTTCATCAGAGATGGTCTGGAGCCTGTCCTCTCCGCTGGCCTTCTGCAGCTGATCTGCTCCTGTAAGTAGCTCTCTGTCCTGTCGCCCCTCCCTCCACTACCAGATGGCCTTAGAACTGCCTCATCCTCAGTCCCTGCACTCTGCATGTTCCAAGGGAACCGTGCCATCCCTGTCAGATGGTCCTAGTTCCAACAGTTCTCCAAACCGGAATCCAACCGAGTCATGACAGGTACACTGGGAAAGGGGAGAAATTCTGGAAGAAAATATTACTACTAGACTGCTACCAATAACATTGCATGGGTGCAACCGTGGAGTCACCAAGCTCGACCTGAAAGAGATGAAGTGCTGATCTGCACAAATAGCTTATTGCAACATGAGCATGGGTCACTGGCAGTTTCTAAAGAACAGGAAACTATGGTGTTATCCACTCCCTACCCCAGTCCACTGGAAAGCAATCCCCACTTGTCACTTCCTACTTTGTTTTGAAAATGTTTTGCATCTTGTGCTGGCACAAGTAGTATTGTACATCTGCCTGCTTTGCTTCATTTTATTGTAGGAGAATAGGATCACCCATAGGGTGCAGTTGCAGAAGATGAGGTATAGTAATATCTGCAGCTTGAGACATTTTCTTTCCACCTCTTTTGTGCCTACAATCTCAGGCTATTCTTCAGATGATATCTGGCTACCACAGCATGGTAGCAATTTGTTTGTGTATAGGGAGGTGGGGGACATAACTAATTTCTGCATCATTTTCGCAAGGAACAGGGAGCCTAAGGGTATTGCTAACCTGAAACTGGCCACAAAGATGCTGGACATCTTTATAAGAACATTCAAGGGAAAGTGCTGTGAAGAGAGTAGCAAGTCCATTTCTGCTCCTGTTCCTGATCAATCTCAGAGTTTGTCACATAAGAGAGAACCAGAGGAGTTCTAGCTGATCCATTATCTATCTTACTGTTGTACTAAAAGAGTTTCAAGAGAGGAATAAAGTTAAGTTAATGCTTCCACTGGGATCCTTATGGTTAAGTGAGACATTCTAGCCACCACCAATTGACTAGGAAGATTTCAGTTGCCTGGATGTTTTAATTCAGTGCATAGGTAAGAAAATAGCAGTGGAAGTGGCACATGGAATAGCACATTTTTAAACAGAGCAACAATAGAGAGGATTTGACCTACACTTCATCACATGTTAGTTGGGTTATTTTCTTCTAGGATGTAATATTTTTCATGAGATTGTGCAGTCCAGGTATAGATCTTCCAAGCCCTAACTGAGGTAACCAAGGGCAAGGGATGCTGGCAATTAGCCAGCATATACATTTAATGAATTATTTTGAGAAATAAAAACAGATGATTCTGGCATTGAGCTTCCTTCCTTGGGTTCTGTTACTGGGTTGTTGTATTCATTTAGGAAAGTTAGCCACTACTGCTTTCAAAAAGTCCACCAATCAACAACTCCACTGAAGTTTCCAAGTCTGTTTTTTTTCTAGACCTTCTACTTGTCTGGATTTAATTTCAGTTTATTCTTCCTCATCTAGCCCATAAGAAACTGATTGGTATAAGAAGATAGGGAGAAGATTTTTCACTCCAAAAGCTCTGAATTTTCTCATTCAGCAGTTCCATTTCAGTATTAAATGGCACAGAAGATGTCAGGATCTTGTGGGACACTATTTTCTGTACATATCCCAACTGGAAGAACTACCGCAAAATGAAGACAGTCAAGGTCTGGAGCCTTCAGAGGCCCTAACTAATACCATAAGTGATAGTACTGAAAGCCATCAGGAGGTCCAAAAGATCTAGCAAGGTCATACACTCCCCATCTATTTTAAAGAAGAAGAATCAGAATAGAGCTGGAAGGTCTTCTAGTCCAGCGCCCTGCTCAAGCAGGAGACCCTATACCATTTCAGACATATGGCTGTCCAGTCTCTTCTTAACAACCTCCAGTGACGAAGCATCCACAACGTCTGAAGACAAGCTGTTCCACTGATTAATTGTCCACACTGTTAGGAAGTTTCTTCTTAATTCCAGGTTGCTTCTCTCCTTGATTAGTTTCTATCCATTGTTTCTTGTCTTGCCTTCTGGTGCTTTGGAAAATAAACTGATCCCCTCCTCCTTGTGGCAGCCTGCTATCATGCCCCCCCCCCCCAGTCCTTCTTTTCTCTAGACTGGTCTTTCCCAAATCCTGCAACCGTTCTTCATATGTTTTAGTCTCCAGGCCTTTAATCATCCTAATTGCTCTTCTTTGCACTTTTTCCACATCTTTTTTATAATGTGGTGAGCAAAACTGGATGCAATATTCTGGATGTGGCCTTACTAAGGCTTTATAAAGCAGTACTAATACTTCATGTAATCTATGCCTCTGATTGTATTAGCTTTTTGGGCGGCGGCTGCGCACTGCTGGCTCATGTTTAAATGATTGTCCACTAGGACTCCAAGGTTCCTCTCACAATTACTGCTTTTGAGCAAGGTTTTGCTTAATGTGTACCTGTACCTTTGGTTTTTCTTGCCCAGGAGCATAGGTCATCCATCAGGGAATCCAATGTAGAGGACATAGGGAATGGCCCTGAAAGAGAGGAGAAAGAGTTGCTACCAACTCTTCAGTCACATAAGTAGGATCTGAGTCTGGGCCAAGAAAAAATACTTAGAAAAACACCTCAGATTAGCCCCTTTCTAAAAAAAAGTAATAAAGTAAGGGAGGGGAGAAGCACATTCAGACTTGCAAGATTTGTTACTATTCTATTGCTGTTACAATAAAAGTAGTCCTGACCTATACGGCATTGCTTTCTTAGGTGCACCTTGTGGAGATGAGACCCAAGTAATCTCAGTATTATATCCCAATGCAGTTTCAATTAAAATGGATTTAAATAATGCTACAGCTAAGCTATGGAAATTCTGTCTTCTGTCCATGTCTATAATTGACAGCAGGGCTTCTGTCAAACATCTGAGATAGTGTGATTTGAATGCAGAAATCCTGATACTATATTGCCTCTTCTTTTTATTGCTAACTTTCATTTTCTTTCTTACACAATAGTGTTGCAACCGTATCCTGCAGTGGGAGTTTCTCAAATGGCTAGTGAAGAAACATCAAGTACTCATAAATATGTTCATAATTTTTGAAGTGCAATTCAAACAAGAAGTATGTCAAAGTGGACTGTTAAGAATATTCTATAGTTGGTAAAGTAAAAGCAATTTATCTTCCATCTTTATTGTACCTAGAAAGAAGGGAATAGCATTGTCAGTAAGTATATAAGAAGAATTAATTTTGATTCTCTACCAAACTGGACATCCTGGTAGCAGGAGGAACTTACAGATTGTGCAGAAACAGATTTTAATATCCATAACATTTGGTAAGTAGTTTGTTTTATTGTTACAGTTTATTTTTCTCTTACCAGTTTTTCTCCATCAGAACTGCATGCTTGTGCATATTCTCTAAAGTATTGTAATCTCTTTTTTTTTCTAAGGCTATATAATATGGAACATACACCAGCAAAGTTATGTCTCCAATGTAATTTGTGAAACATTTATGTTAATCACATTTGCCAATGAAGTTTGTTTTATCTCTTGAGAGAAACCCCAGGGAAAATTAAATATCCTATCCCTGAGTGTTTCCAGAGATCTGTTTCAAATTTTATATTAACTCTCCCATCATTGCCAGGAAAATATTTCAGGAAAGACAAGATATAAAACTTGAAATATTTGTTAATACATGTTGTTCCCATGTTTACAGACCTTTTATTCCTATCCAGGCAGATAAGGATGGAAAGATAATCATCCATTGATTAGAAAATCACGCAGAGGCTTTTCTCTTTTTATAGGTTTCATTATCATGTGCAGATTTCAGGCCTTCACGTTCTTCCTTCTTCTGCAACTGAAGCTTCCCAAAGCAGAAGGCAAATGTATCTTTTTAGAGGTCCAGCAGCGCTGCACTTGTTCACTTCTAAATCAGTCAGAATTAAACAATATTGCTGTATGCCTTTTAGCTGCTGAGTATGAACTCAAAGGAGGAAACCTGGAACAATTTTCAGGCTTTTCTGAAATGAAGCCAAATTCAAATGTAATTAACATCCTGCAAGCTCTGCAGGTAAGAAAGCTCATCTTGACTGACCTCTTTGTGCCGGAAGTTCTGTTACCAGGTGCCCTGGAATTTATTTCCTATACAAGTCTTGTTTCAGAACTTGAATTTGTTAATTGCACTTTCCTTAGACTTGTACACTGGCAATATATAAGGCCCTTGAATCTAAAAGTTACCTCTCTGCGTTTCCACAAAGTGATTGCTGCCCCTCTGGATGAAAGATTTGATATAACCAGTCTGAAGAGATGGCTGGAGACCCTGGAGAATCTGACACTGACAGAGTCACAAATTACATCTATTCCTTGTAAGATTGGCAGAATATTCAGAGCATTACGTTTTTTGGATATTTCAGGAAATCATTTTCAGGATCAAAGCATAAACTCAACATTCTGCAAAGGTGCTTTCCCACAGCTCCAAGTATTAAAACTAAATCACAATAATTTGACTTCTTATGAGACTTTGTGCAAGACTCTTAGTAATTTTGATATGCTTACTCTCTTAGATTTGAGTCAGAATGACTTCTTGCCTGGAGCCTTCCCTTTCCACTGTATGTGGCCACAATCACTTCAGATTTTTAATTTGTCTAACACGGGATTAGAACACGTGGATAGATTACTGCCTCCCAACATTAAAGTATTAGATCTGAGTGCCAACAACATCTTTACTCTAGATGTCTCACATTCTTCTTTGAAAGAACTTTATTTGTCCAATAATAGACTACAGACGTTCCCATCAGTCCATCAGCTTCCTAATCTGGAGGTCCTGAATTTAGATGGAAACTGCATGTCAAGGTTACGGAGCAAGGATTTATTGTATCTGAAACATTTACAGAGCTTAAAGGCTGGCCACAATCTGTATAACTGTTCTTGTACTTACTATATCAGGGAAATCCAAGACTTAGCAGCTAAAGAATCATTGCTGCTTGATTGGCCTCAGAATTATGTATGTGACTCCCCTCCCATTTATCAGGGCTACCTGGTAAGAGATGTGCCTCTATCACTACTACAGTGCAACAAGACTCTGATCAGTCAAGGCTCAGTAGTCAGTCTATTGATGTGTCTTTCCCTTGTTCTTCATTTGCTTCTAGCATAGCTATGAGAATGCTAATTGAAGTGCTTGTATTCAAAATCCAGTTTAATGTCATATAAATTGAAGAGCTGGATTTATTCCTATTTTTCAGAAATCATAACAATAGAGAATGGTAAAGAGCAGCATGTTTATTTGAAAATATTACATGTTGCCATTTGTTTGTCATCAAGATTCACCAGCTTCACTACCAGTCAATTCTCCTCAAAGTCATACGGGGTGTTTGAATGGATAGTTGGAACTCACAACCCTTTTGTCAAAGAATGGAATAGTACTTTACACTTCAACATGGTGAAGTAACTTCCAAGTGGTTAAAGTGAAATATAAAAGTTTGTGTGTTGGGGCAGAGGAAACACACACAGAATAAAGTGGGATGGAATTCTCACAATGAACCTCCCCATCCCTCTGGTGATCTGTTGCCTATCAGTCAGGTCATTTTTAACACAGGAAAATATTCAAAGGATTGGGGTGCATATTTTCAAGAACATTTTAAAAACAGTTTTCACATGTACAGTACAATATTATTTTATAGTTGACTTATAAGCAGTTGGTAATGTGGAAGCAACTCGATTAATATATTGTAAAAATCAAATAAGACGGCCCCATATTCCAATTAATACCCTGAAGTTACCAATGTAGGTGTTTCACGAGACACTATTGAGTAGAAATGTGACATAAAGAACCGGCGGGGGAAAGGCCAGCCATAGCAATTTGGCCTGTCACTAAGCTGCTGACAGCCAAAGTTAAAATCACTTTAAAGTAACATGGATGAAACTGGGTGAGATCTGATCCTCTCTTTAAGACTTTAAGTATTTTTTCCTGTAAAAGCTGCCCCAAGTATTTTTCCCCTTGTGAGGAGAAAGGGAAGGGAATTTCTACCCCACCCTCTAAGAAAAGCAGCGACTAACTACCCAGGGGAAACAGAGCAACTATAAGAACAATTTTAATCTAATTGGATGTATATGCTTTTGAAACTTGGGGTCTAAAAGTGTTCCTTTTCTTACTGGAGACATTTGTTTTTATCTAAAAAAGAAATAAGACTTGAAAAACTATCATAAAAACTTTGGACTTAAAAAGCTTTAAATGGCGTCCGTGACATCTTGTGGCGAAGTATCGTATTACAATTTGTTATTGCCTAAAAGGGACTTGGCTTGAAGCCCAGACTCCAGAAAAAAAAATTCCTTGACCCAGACAGTTACCACCTGTGAAAAATCCAGTTGCAAAGAAGGAACTTCTGGCCGGCATATCTGGCTTGTTTGAACTATGAATGTAAATTTTTACTGACTTTCAGAGCTATACTTGGGGAATTGCTTTCCTATTTCTTTACATGAGAAGCATATGATATTATATGAGATGATGGAATACCTTGGACTATAAACTCTTACTTGACAAATAATTTCTACTATAAAGACCACCTATTATATGTGAAATAGATGTCCCATACCCAGCTATAAAAAACAAAAAAACTATTTTTAACATTTGATTCTAAAGTCTTCAACTTAACATATTATCAAGAGAATATGGATGAAGATCAGGAAAAAATCCTTTCTATATTGAAATCAATACACGAAACCATTCTTTCAGCTTGTGACAAAATAAGATGCAACATAAAGTAACAAGATGCCAGCTTAAATATACAAACCCTGATCTTGACTCCAATCAAAGAACTAACAATGCAGAAAATAACAGGAAAAGTGGAACAACTAAACACTAAGACAGAGGACCCAATTGACCAACAGACCCAGCCAATGGAAAAATCAGAAAAGGGAGTGACAACATTGAAAATGAAAAAGACTTTACAAAAATCAGAAAAAAATTGAAGAAAAGGAAGAAGAACAGACTGAATGGAAGATAAACCTATCAGGACAATTGTGGGAAATTGGAGTAATAGGGAGGTGATCTAATGAATACAAATGGGCTAGTTCTTCCAAAAAAACTTCAACTAAATGGTCTTTCTTATTCCAAATAATATATATAATAATAGAGGGAGAACTATTTGATGATTCAAAGGCACTGACATGGAAGGTTAGTTAGCAAAGGAAGAAAGCCAGAGTAAGACTGAAGAAAATAATGGCTCTGATTTATTAGAGGAGATATCATATTACTAACTAGAGGGTTGAATATGGTGGAAAATAGATAATTTTTAGAAAATAAAGTAACATTATAATTGAATAGGTAAGATGTGTAACAAGACTAATAGACTTTGGTATAAAAAGAGAAAAAGGGAGAAGTTGAGATAAGGGAAATTTTGGTCACCTAATATAAAATATTTGGAAATCATAAATAACAATGTTTTTTTCCTTTTTTTGAATATTGATGGGAAATTAAAGTTTATGTATAGGCTAAAAAGTATTGATAAACGTAACAAGATTTTTTTTTAACTCAGTTGAAAATAAGAAATAATAGATATTACTAGAAAAAGAGAGGGAGTATTTGAGCTTCTAAAAACTAGACCTAAACTTATTTATGTATATTACTGATTTATTGGTTAACCCAGACAATACATATAATGGTTTTGAGTTATTAGAGGGGATACCATATTATTAATTAGATGGTTTAATATGGTGGAAAATAGATAACTTTTAGAAAACAGAACAAGACTATATTCAAATACTGTAGATAAGGTGTATTTAGAATATTAGATTTTGATATGAAAAGGGAAAAAGGAAGAAGTTGAGATAAGGGAAACTTTGGTTACCTAAAGCTTGGAAATTATAAATACCAAATGTTAATTTGAATATGGATGGGAAATTAAGGCTTGGTAAAAAAGCAATAACAGGACATTGATTGTATATAAGGATTAAATGCAAACACAATTAAGATATGTATAAGCTAAAAAATATTGATAAATGTAACAAAGATGTTTTTAACTCTATTAGCTAATATGAGTTAGTAGATATTAAGGGAAAAAGAGAAGAAATATCTGATGTTGTAACTTGAAATTTATACTAAAGACTTATGTATGTTATTGAACTATTGATTAACCCAGTCACCACATTGCTTTTTAAATATTTAATTGTAAAATTAGAAAATTAATAAACTATTATATTAAAAAAGAATCTAATCTAGAGAGTAGTTGAAATTTGTATGGCCAAATCAATCTTCTGGTTTTTCCCCAAGTATGTTATGTAGCTTTTGCTAATCTATTTGATCAATTGTATCGTATCTTGGAAATATTTGTCCCCGAACCACCTCCTGAAGATTTACTGCAATTTGTGATTATTTCTAAAACATAGGTGTCCTTGCCCTAAAATACTATGTCCACCTGAATTAGGAAAGATGTTTTCCCACACGTCATGTAAATAATAGGATGGTGGGAAAGATCCTTGCCTGTAGGCACACCCAGCTGTAAAATGAGGCATTATTCTGATAAGATATTCATGGTGAATATGAGCACCATATAGTCTGCTTTCACCTCACTCATTCTTCATACCTCAGCCTCTCTTTCTGAAATATGCATTTATCTGGTAGCCTTTTCTTGCACACACTTGGAGAGGCACCTAAATGGTAATGATAATGGTAAACCAATCTCTAATTTGGAATGTCCTTCTGATAATTTTAAATTGATCTTTGGAAGGAGTTATGGGATTATTTTTCCAAAACACTAAAATGATACTTTGCAGCTTAACATGGTGATTTAACTTTATGAATGATAAAATAAGGCTGAAAATGTAAAGATAAAAGATCAGGAAATGTATGAACTCATTAGAACTCACCTAAGAGAAGAACCATAATCTAACAAACTATTCACTTATGAGAAGCTATTTGTTTTTCCAAGTAGAGGAAGAAATGCAACAGAGAAGATTTAACCTGTCTCAAATGTCAAATATATACAAATATATATCTCCCTCTTTAGTGGCCAATTTTTTTAAAAAAGTACTACATTTTATTATAAGATAAAAATACAAAAGGAAACAAAAGTTAGAAAACTAAGAGGAAAAGAGAGAAGGATACAAAGAGAAAGAAAGAAAAAAGGTAGTGACTGCCAACTTTTTTCAGGGCCATAACGTACAAAAAAAGTAATTGCAACCTCAACCTTTACATTTCACAATATCTCAAGTCATTTCTATGACAACAAAATCGATCTAATCATCAAAACTTAAAATCAAAGTTTCATTTTTTTTCAGTTTCAAGCAAAAAGTCCAGTAGTTTCCAAGTAGAAACAAAGTTAGATAAATTCTCTTTAATTAAAACAGTCAGTTTTGTCATCTCTACCAACTCCATTATGTTTATCATCCATTCTTCCTTTGTGCAAATTAGCATGACTTTCCATCTTTGCGCATATAAGATTCTAATAACAAAGTTCCAAATTTTCTTTCAAGTTCTTTGTAAATAATACCTAAAAAGAAAATGTCTGGTTTAATTTTTATCACAAGTCTGGTAGAGTATGAAAAAGTGCCCCTCTTTGTATTTACTTTTCCAATATACATTCATTCATTGTTTGTTTCTGGGCTCGTGAAAGTTTTGATAATTGTTGTTTTTATAGATATTCATCTATCTTTTCCAAATTCATGTCTTGTTTTTATACAAGTTGGAATAAAAATGATAAAAGGACATTTAGTGTCCAATTTTTTAAAAAATTCAACATAGATGTTACTACTGTAAGTGCTGTTTGAAAACAAGCTTCAGTGAAGCTTATACTGTAGCTGTACCTGAAAACAGCTTCTCCTAAGTAGCCTTTGAAAGATAGTTTGGTGATTGATCAACAGTTTACTAGACAGATGGAAGAAGAGATAGCTTAAAATAGGTTTTATGGGATGTTCCAAACGGAATGATTTGAAATTAACTTATTGCATACACTTCATATGAAGAACCAGCTCAAGCTAACATGGAATATTTTAATGGTAAGTGAAAAAAAAATTAAGCCAGTGTAGTCTAGTGGTTAAGGGACCAGGCTAGAAACCAGGAGGCAGACAGCTTAGGTATGAAAGCTAGATGAGTGATTTTGAGCCAGTCATGCTCTCTCTCAGTCCAATTCACCTCACAGGGTTGTTGTAGTAAGGAAA